GCCTTTCCTCTAGAAACAGACATGTTTTTGTTTTTGTTTTTTTTGGTTTTTTTTTTTAATTCTCTTTGGAACTGACAGAAAGCAAATACGGAGGCCTGCTAAGTTTGTGAGAGCTCACGGCTTTGCGGGTAATAATTGATAACTGTTCAATATATAGAATCCTTCTAGGGCCTAGAAACTTACATCCAAGAAAACTCAGCTTCTAAAGCTGTACAGTTCTCCAGTGAGGCCTCAATGAGGCAATGGGGGATAATGGGCAAGGGAATTCTATTCCTCCCAACAGTATTCGATATGTACATCAAATAAGCAATCAGTGATTTCCATTTGTTTCCCATTCTCTCTGTTTCTAAATGGCAGTCTTCCTTTAGTTTCATGTATCCTGTTGTTTCTCTATGATTCAAAATTATGGGAGTTCAGATAATCTGTCTTATAAACATATTGGCTGCTAAACCATAAGGGCATCCATGTCTGGGCCAGTTGGAAATGATGGCATCACTAGATGTGATTAGAGGGTGAGGCGTTAAAGTAGACTCCCCAAGGGAAGGAATGAGTGCATGCCACCCAGGATGTATAAATGGGAAGAATGGTGTTATTGATGTTTAATAGCCCAAAAGATAGACTACTCTTACTTTTCTGTACTAGAGGCAAAGAAACTAAATTATTCATCATTACAGACTCTCTTGCAGCTAAGAGAAATCCATGACTCAGCTTTGCACGTTGGTAGGTGAACACAAGATCCTGAGTTAGAATTCTGGGAAAGCTTTTAAAATGACAGAATCAGCCAGAATGGTGCTTGAGCCTTTTGTCCTTTTCTTTCCTTTTTATTTTTATTCAATGAATTGGGGTGACATTGGTTAATAAAATTATGTAAGTTTTACGTACTGGCAAAACTGGAGCTACAACAGCTGGAGCTTTAGAAAGCAACATATGATATGTATGGATGAAAGCCACTAATAACGAATGGCAAAGCAGCCTTGATTTTGATATTACCCCAAAGCATTTGCCCTGAACTGCAGATCGATGGCTATCTTATTCATAAGTAAGATAAACACTTAGAAGGTTAGGCTATTGTTAGTTGGATTTCTTAGCTCTCTTCTTTTTAAGTGTACAGAGACATATTATTTAGCCAATGACTTCTTTTAAATACCAATTTGTCAACAAATACGAATTAAGCAATAATTCATCCAGTAAGTGATAATTGATTAATAATGTATAACCCTTAACATGAATGAACGTTTTCTGTATACTTGGCAAGAATAGTAACAGCCAATATTCTCAACCCAGAGCTGTAGCAATCCAAGGAGAAAGGTTAAATTTTAAAAATTCAGAAAAAGGAAGAAGTTAATTCAGTCTTGATTCTCTAACACCTAGTAAAGTGCCTGGCACTTAGCAGGCAAGAAACATGTTTACTAATTGATACTACTTATTATAGTCCTCAAAAAACTGTTTTGTAATAACATAACACTTAAAGCATATATGATAAAATGTTCAGCAACAAATGTGAATTTAATGCATAACAACATTTACTGAATAACTAACATTTACTGAATTTTGGTATAATGTAAGTACTATGCTAAATTCTTTGTGTGTTTTTAAAAATTAATTCTCACAGTAGTACCATAATGTAGGTATTATTAGGGACTTTCAGAGATATTTAAATAACTTGGCTAAGGTCATAGAGCCAGGTGGTGTTCTGAGCCAGTATTCAAGGACAAGTTTCCCTCCCTCCAAACCTATGCTCTTAACCACTATGTATTACTAACATATTCTATATCTGCTCTCCTAAAAGAAACACATCCTTTGATCCCTCAAAACCCTTCTTGGCAGAACAGCAAGTATACAGAAAATGTTAGTCCATGTTAATGGTTATACATTATTAATCAATTACCACTTACTGGATGATTTATTATTTAATTCCTATTTGTTGACAAATTAGTTGAATTTTTCATATGCACACATTGGAATAAGTTAGCTAAATAAAGTGATTCACTTGGAAGGTTTCATGTTCACTCTAGGCTCCTATTGGGAACCTAGATTATTTGCAGCATTTTTGCTTTAAAATCCAGGAGGTGTACCCATCACAGCCTGCATAGTAGGGTATTGATAAGAACAAGGATGCAGGAGGCAATTCACTGGACACTTAAATGGCAAAAAAATATAGTGCAGTTTCACACAGCCTGCAGACTGCAGGTTTATATGATAATAAATAATAGCTTTCACCAGGACAAAGGGAAAAAACGCCATGAAATCCAATAGCTCAGTGAGAAATCTGCTAATACAGGTGGTCAAGCTTGTTCCATTTCATTGTCAAAGGGAGGCTATTTATTTGCTTCTGGGTAGTTAAATTACAAAGTCATTTACTGCTGAAAGTTTTCCAGTAGGCAGATGTGGATCTAAAGCCCAGAGCTTTAGATCCAAAGTTTGCGAGAAAAAGGGGAATAAGAATTTATTCCACAGACAGCATAATTGGTAAAGTAGAAATCTTTCAGCAACTCTAGAAGTAAAATAAAATAATGAAATAAAAGAAAGTACGTATCTTTAAACATTCCAGGTGGAACCTCCTTACTGTGTACATTGGGCATGAGCTAAGAACCAAAATGCTAGCTCTCCTAAATAATTTTCTTAGAGACTCCTTAAAATATTTTCTCTTTGATAATTTCCTGCTTAGCTGAGATGTCAGTGACGGAGATGGGTGTGTCTGTGTGTAAAAGAGAGAAAGAGAGAGAGAGGGAGAGAGAGAGAGAGAGAGAGAGAGAGAGAGAGAGAGAGAGAGAGAGAGAGAGAGAAAGAAATCGAGTTCTTGTGCAGCAGAATGCTGAGAAATAGTGGGGAAATATTCACAATGGCTCCTTGGTAGTTATAAAATTAATGGCAACTTTCTTTTTCTGTTGATCCAATAAGTACCACATATGTATTCTCAGACCATTTGAAAACTGGAGATTATGCACACTGTATTCATTATTTCTAAATTGTCACAAACTAGTAATTTCCAAAATTTGTTAGTTAATCAATAAAATTGATCAAATATACAATTTTTATAAGCATTTGTAAATTTCTTGTAAATAAGGGTTTCCTTTAGGTCCCAATTTTGCATATGCCTAACACCTACAGTTTTATCACTTGTTTCCTAGGTGTAAGTTACTGCTTAAGTCACCAAGTAACTTAATTCTTTGCCAGGTAAGTTTTAAACCAAGACATGTACATAATTTTCTTATTAATTGTGAATATTAACTTCATCAATCTTAGCTTGTGACCAAATTCAAAGCTTCCACGCATAATCCAAATGAGGAATACATTACACAGCTGAAAGAATTCAAACTCTAATTTATATTGCCTTGAAAACAATTAATGAGTCATAAAGAGCAATGAGTCTATCAAAGTAATCTATGTGTGAAGTGACCCACAACAAAAGGTTAACAGATATTGATGGTATCAGTTTGCTAGAAGACAACCGAAGATGAAGAAAACCAAATATCCCAAGTCTAGGTATCTGAACTTAAAAATGCAAAATGTTCTCAGTGAATGTTAGCCATCCTAACAAAATTCCAATGACTGAAAATTTGATGACTCTGTCATGATATCACTCAGCTGTTATGGCAATAATTAAGAGTATGTGTATACATGCATATGACATAAATGCATTTCAAGATCTGCTGGCTCTTCTACCTAACTTTTGAGAATTAGAGATAAACAAACTCAAACAGAAATAATCGGAAAAAATATTTTAAAACTTAAGTTGCATGTAAAACAAATACAAAATGACTATTATTTTGAAGTAAATATGTACCAAACATCTTTATGTCATAAAATTTTTAAAAAATTTAGTTGGAAATACAGATTTACAGACTTCGGAAAGAACATATAGAGCAGTGGTTCTCAACCTTCTGGCCCTTTAAATACAGTTCCTCATGTTGTGACCCAACCATAATACTATTTTCGTTGCTACTTCATAACTGCAATGTTGCTACTGTTATGAATCATAATGTAAATATTTGATATGCAGGATGGTCTTAGGCGACCCATGTGAAAGGGTCGTTCGACCGCCAAAAGGGTCGCGACCCACAGGTTGAAAACCACTGATAGAGAATCCCGTGTACCTCTCACCCTGTTTCCCCAATACGTATTACATATTATGTAATAATAGCACAATATCAAAACCAAGAAATTGATATTAGTACAATATGTGTGTATAGTTTTGTGTCATTTTATCACACCTGTAGATCCTTATTACCATCACTGCGATCAGGATACAAAACTATTATATTTTGTTTTATTTATTTTCTTGAATATAAAAATGCATTATCATTTCAGATAGGAAGTTCCAGACTATTTGTTCTACATAGCAATAAATGAGTGTTGAAAATTATTCAAACCTTGGAAATTATCATCTAGCTAAACTCTACAAAGGCCAACGTGAAATTCTAGCCAAACAGACAACAAACCCTTTGGTTAACCTCAGTTCCTTGCACAGATGAAGCATCACCGTCATTCGGCAATCAGCTCTCCCCAACATGAGACAGCAATTTTTCTCACACTGTTTATCAAAGACAACTAGCTGCGTACTGGACTACTCCAATACTATTTCCTGCTGGAAGTCCTGGACACACACGAACACACACCACACACCACACACACACACACCACACACCCACGCCCACCCACACCCACTACCTTTTATCTTTAATGTCATAAATAAAGTTTTAATTAGGACCCCCACTACCTTTTTCAGGCAAACCAGAGCACCCCACAAGTGCCCTTAAGTCACCAGTGACGTTACCATAACAAAAGAGCACACAAACAAACATACTTGCAACAAACAAACAAACAAACAAAATAAACCAGCCAGAGTCTTCTAAGCCAAACTTACTGTAGGGTTTCTTCTTTTCCCTACCAAGTAAATATCATCCAAATTGTTGCAAACTGCAATGCGGATTCAGCTGCCAGCGATGGAGAAATATATATGATCACCAAGCAAACAACCTAAACCCCCCCAGTCTTACCTTGGCCATCTGTGCCTGCACCCCATTGGCCTTGAGAGACGCTACCGCTTTCTGGGCGGCTGCGGGACTGTCAAAATCCACAAAACCGTAACCTGTGGAAACACAAAACCCCTGTTAGCACTCGCAAGTAGCTGGCTCTCCTCCACACCGAGGGAAGGAGTGTTGGGGCTCTCACTTGCATAAAGGCTCTCCATCTCTGGTCCTTACCGTGTCTGGGAAAAATCACAAAATCATCAAAAAAAATGCGGTGGGCACCTAGCAGCAGCGCCTGAAGTCTGCGTCTGCCCGAACCCAGCAGCCTTTTTCTTTGCAGCCCCACGTGCTGCCCAGCCCGCTTTCCCCTGGGCCCACGTGCTCCCCGGCGCGAACTCTCTGATTGGGGGAACCGAGAACATCTTTACCTCCACTCACCTGTCTGTGGGCAAGCAAAAGTCAGCCAGGTGCTCCTGGTCTCGCTCAGCGGTTAATTTGCAACCTAGCAAGGTCTACAGAGTCTAGAGACCAGTGGTTCTCAACCTTGGCTGCACATTAGAATCACCTGGGAATCTTTTTAAAATCCTGATTTCTAGGCCTCATCCTCCGGAAATTCTGTTTCTTTGTTATGGGGTGAGGCCACAACATTAGTAACAAAGAAACAGAATTTCCGGAGGATGAGGCCCAGAAATCAGAATTTTAAAAAGATTCCCAGGTGATTCTAATATGCAGCCAAGGTTGAGAACCACTGGTCTAGATAGTAGAAGTCTGTGTACATCATTCTGGGGGTACCTATTTTTCATGAAGGGATGGAATACTGGAACTGTTGTAGAAGAAAAACTTCTGATTTAAATAAATTCTTAGCCTAAGCCAGCATGGCTCAGTGGCTCAGTGGTTGAGCCTCGACCTATGAACCAGGAGGTCATGGTTTGATTCCAGTCAGGGCACATACCTGGGTTGTGGGCTTGATCCCCAATGGGGGACATGCAGGAGGCAGCTGATCAAGGATTCTTTCTCATCATTGATGTTTTTATCTCTCTCTCCTTCTCCCTTCCTCTCTGAAATCAATAAAAGTATATTTAAAATTTTTTTAAATAAAATAGTAAGTCTTATGTTTTGGAGAGTGGGCTTACAGTCAGCAACCTGATTTAGACTAATTCGGTGAGTAAGGTGATAATACATTATTGAACCCTGTTCTATTTTCCTGAATGGATTTGTTGCAAGAATGAGAAACACAAAATGTTGAAAAATATTCTTTTTAGAGTTTCTCTCTAAAGTTAATTTTCAAAACCTCAAAAAAGTTGCTGTTAATAAAAGTTATGGCAGAACTTGACTATAGATATCACCAGCAACTTCAACAGTACCTGGCACACAGTAGGCATTCAATCAATACATGTTGACTACATGAGTTAATAAATGTTGTTAATGAGAGTTAGGGTTGGAATGTGGCTCCAGCTGATTCCAAAGCCCATGCTAATTCATTACAGGACCTTCTCGCTCTCAATCACAGCATAAGTAAATTATTTTAACTCTAAAGTGATCTGTGATAAACATAATGACATAGATATTCAGGCTTCTTATATAAATAAGGAGCTCGTTTTAAATTAAGTAAACACACCCATGCCACTTGTTACTGGAGTACAACCTGAAAAGGACACAAGAGTCACGTATACTGTTTACTGATTGTGTGCCTGTGCGTGTGGGGGGGTGGGGGAGAGGGTAGATACAGAGTGAGGCCAAATAAATAGCCAATAAAACAGACTAAATGCAAAAGAGATTTTGCATGTCCATAAAATAGCAGATATGAATCCAGGACTTAGCCTAACAGTAATGTAAGCTGCCAAGGATATTTAAAAACAAAAAAACTCAGGAATGAGTAGGAGGGCAGCTTTGTTTGGCACATCTAAAAACCCATCATATGTAACCTACGCCTCTTCTCATTTATTAGGCAGGGATTGGCTCTGTACTCTTTTACTTGCCTCATTTAGGAGTTTTGAGGTGAGCTACAAAGGCAACCTTGCTAACCATGCACTGTGACACCCCCCTCCAAACAAGCAAAGAAATGTGCAAGAGAATTCAATTACCGAGTTGTTTCTTTTAATTAACTTTTTAATTTTCTCCCCTCAAATCCCTCCTTCTTTTTTCCTCCCAGCGTGTTATCCTAAAATGAACTTGTTACCCAGCAGCATACCATCAAATGCTGCTGAAAAGCTGGGCAGAGTAGCTGTGAAGTTTGTATTTCTAATCCAAAAGAAAGCCTGTTCTATAAGTGCTACTAATTCTTCTCGTCCCACGAAACTCAAACTATCTGAATAACATGAGTAGCACCACCCACTAAGTTGAGTAAAATAGGCGAAAAAAGCCAGAATAAAGAGGGGGAAAGAACAAAATACATAAAGCATTAGAGTTAGAAGAAGCAGAACATAAACTAAAATGCAGATGTTTTCGCCTATGTATCAGAATGTGTGCTCGGTGGTTGCCATGTTGGCACCTGCTGAAACGCTCATGGCTTCACGGGCTATGGTCCTCATGTCCCTTCGGGTGTAAACATGACGAAACTGAGGCTAGGGAGAGGTGACACCAGTCACAGGCTGCCTAACTGGCAGCTCCAGGATTTGAAGCCAAGTCTGCCTACGCCCCCCCAACTATACCCTACAATGAACGGCTCCATACCCTCACTTTGAAAACTATGCCTTGTGGCCCCTGAGGTCCACCATGGAGAGAATGCAATCTTGAACATCTCTTGGATTTTGAAGTGAGGGCATGGAACAAAGCAGCTCCATTCAGTTAATGGAGTGGTTGGGTTCTCAGTAGAACTGGCTAAGTCAGGCACGCCCTTCCACCTCGTGCTTTGGCCACTCTTCCTCATGCATTCCCATGCTCATCTTTCACTCTATAAGGAAACGCCATGTCAGGCACTTTGCCAGGCATAGGGCATATCATAGTGAATGAAATAGTTCCAGTTCTGCCCGCCCAGCATGGCTCAGTGGTTGAGTGTAGACCTAAGAACCAGGAGGTTCCATTTCTGATCAGGGCACATGCCTGGGTTGGGGGCTTGATCCCTAGTTGGGGGGCAAGCAGGAGGCAGCCAATCAATGATTCTCTCTTATCATTGATGTTTCTCTCCCCCCTCCCCTTTCCTCTCTGAAATCAATAAAAATATATTTTAAAAAAATAGCTCCAGTTCCCATCCTTATACAGCATATAGTTGAGTTGGGGGATGGACATACATAAAATAACCATAGAAATGAATCTATACTGACAAAATGGTATGTCTCCCTTGAAAGAAAATGAGAGCATATACTATTGCATCTAACTACTGATCCTTTATTATTGAAAGTCATAAGGAAGCAGCATTTCTTAAATTATCACTTTAACTGGCTTCTGCTAAAGACTGAGTGGTTGTGGAGAAAGTGGGCAGCAAGAATGGAATCAGCAAGGCGACACAGAGGCAAATGGCAACTGGCAATGAAGCGAATGAAATGAGATGGATAATTTGAATTATACTTTTAAGTAACAGGAGTTGGTAATGGATTGACTTGGTTGGGAGTAAGGGGGCTACAGAGGACACGGACTATTACTGCCCTTTCTTGGCACAGGCCACTGGATGGCTAGAGATGTGATTTACTGAAATGGGGAGACTAGAGGAGGACCCAGCAAGGGAGAGGAAAAAGTAATGTATCAATTTGAGACACGTTGAGTCAGAAATTCCTGTGAAATATCTAAGTAAAAATGTCAAGTAGCAGTTGGAGTTTTTAGGCTGTTGCACAAACAAGGGGGTAAGATTGGATATGCAAATTAGGCAGTCAACACCATAAATATGTGTACAGAGATAGGAAATAGATTAAAAAATGCCTAATGTAAGCAGAAACAAAGGGTTCAGGTTTAGAGTTTGAACAACGTCAACATTTAGGTGTCAACTGAGAAAATGAGCGTGCAAAGGAGGTGGAAGGAGAATCAGAGAGGAAATGAAGAGGTAATAGGATGTCTGAAAGTCAAGTTTAGAAACTGTCCAAGGAGAGAGAGATCGGCTGTGCCAAATGCTACAGAGAATGAGGAATATGAGAGATTGGAAATGCTCAGATGTTCAGGAGCCTTAATGTAATTATTGTGATTTGCTTTAGGCAAGTGTGGGGATTGAAGCCTATCTGAGTGGAAGAGTGAGAGAGATGAGGAGGCAAAAAGAATGCTTACCAGCCTCATTGCCATGATCTTGCCTGGGATGGAGAATTAATAAACAGCTTTAGCCAGTGGGGAGTATGAAGTCTAATGAGCTGTCTGTTTAAAGATAGAAGATACTATGGTTTTCAGCCTTAGCTGCAAACTACAATCACATGGGGAGCTTAAAAAAAATACCATCGCCCAGGATTCACCCCCAAGAAAATTAAATCAATATTTTTGGGAATGTGGCCCAAATGTTTACACACACACACACACACACACACACACACACACACACACACACAGAAAGAGAGACCCTCGTGTGTTTCTGTGTGTGTGTGTATGTGTATAGGTATGTGTATATCTATTCCCTGCTGATTTCAATATGAAGCCCCGGTAAAGAACTACTGAGTATTTATTCAAATTATTCAAGAATTTTTTGTTGTTGTTGCACCTATTAAGAGATTGTTCTTGGTAATTTTGAATTAAAAAAAGTCAAGCAGATCCCTAGTTAGTTTGGCTTAGGGAATAGAGCATTGGCCTGAGGACTGAAGGGTTCTGGGTTCATTTCCAGTCAAGGGCACGTACCTCGGTTGCAGGCTGGATCCCGGCCCTGATCAGGGCATGTTTGGGAGATAAACAATAGATGTCTCTCTTTCACATTGATGTTTCTTTCTCTCTCTCCCTCCCTCCCTTCCACTCTCTCTAAAAATCAATGGGAAAAATGTCCTTGGGTGAGGATTAACAATAATAACAACAATGATCAAGCAGAAAGCAAGAGGTTAAAACTACAGGGGGACAAGGGGATAATTTCTATAAGAGGACCTATCCTTCACTCATTGTAACTGGAAGGGGGAAAAAAAGGCACTCTTGGTTACCAGGTGCTATTTATTTGTACTTCCCAGTGACTGGGACTCTACCTACTACACAGCCTGTGCTTGATACATATTTGTTGAAA